TGTTATTTTGTCAAGGACAAATGGTGCTGCTATTAAGCAAAGGTCTTTGTTCTCCTGTGCTGCAGGATAGACAACTTTTCTTCAATCATCTGTAATTATGTTAGGAAGTGTGAAATCTACCAAGATGTCCGTGTTTGTTAAGGTCATAAAACCGATTTATTTTTGCATTCAACGCTACAATTTCCGAGTACCGTGCTCTGTCAGTTCCATGAAGTGACCTGAAGTTGGAACACAAGGACGGACATGATGAATCTGCACGTGAAAGCTTTTTTGTCATGCCTTCTAATGTTTGGGACATAATGCACACTACACAAGCTCCTTGACAATAAAGAGTGTTTTTAGTGCACAACATGGCGCATTCTCCTTCAGCAATAACACATTACGTTATTTCCTGTGCCTGAGCATGCACTGAGCGTTCGCCCACAATCTTTACAGTCATTTCTGTGTCAACCAGAGATAATAATAGGAAAATACTGAATGTTCATAAAGAATACACAGGCCGGTTATGACCTCCAGATAGTGAGTTACAATGAGGCCAAAGACTACTAACAGAGAACATGTCTTTCATCAAAAGACCTCATCGGTATTTACATCACTCTAATACTTTGGTAACTAGACTATGTCATGGTTTGTCAGGGTAAACTGAGAATACAGTAGTTCGCTGTTTCATTTAATTTGTGCAAACAAACAAAAACAAAGCAAAAATATCTTGGCCGGGAGCAGTTGCTTCCTGTAGTCTCTGCTCTTCCCTCTTTATGCTAAGCTAAGCTATCTGCCTGCTGGATTTAGTTCTGAGAGTGGAATCAATCTTCTCATGTAACTCTTTAGAAAAATGCAAATAAAGCATATTTCCAAAATGTCAAACTATTCCTTTAAAGAAGTGTCTGTTACACAGAGGTAGAGTGAGACATTTCAACATTATATATTCAACTCAGGACCAGGGAGTGCTCTAAATACTGCATCAGTTAACTATTTGAGAAAGCAACAGTGTAACTTGTAATTTAGTTTTGATATAATTGGCCCTGATAATGGGCAAAAATACATAACATAACGCTTCTTCTCCATACTTCTTGTCTCCGCATTACACTGGAGTTATATAATTATGCCACTCAACCTAATCCAATTACTAACAGTATTTATCATTTTCTAATACAATAATTACCACAAATAAAATGATAGAATGCTGGCTGTTACTTCCTTGGCTGGATGGGGAACAGCAGTCCATGTGATGGACACAAAGTATTTGGCACAAACTTGTTTCAGTCACAAAGCAGGAAATGGGAAGGGAAGTCAGATGGACCAGGACCTGCTGACCTACACATGATGTCTGGCTCAATACAGTCAAAAACACACACACACACACACACACACACACACACACACACACACACACACACACACACACACACACACACACAGGCACACACACAAATTTTTAGAAAAACTAGGCCCCTGTCCTATTTTTAGGTGAGCTTTTTCAGTTTTCAGTTTTTGCCCTCTTTCCATCCTCTCGGCTGCAGGACACGGAGATGAGGAGCAGAGAAAGAAATACATTTCACACACACACACACACACCTGGCAGAGGAGGACTGAGTGATGGCGGAGGAGATCGGCACATTATCCCAGGAGCATGTGCATCCCAAAAGGCAATCATCCACAATGCTGGGCAATCACTTTCTCAATGAGAGGTCAGTAAAGGCCTCGGTATGCTTAACACAAAGTGCTTATCGAACCTTCTAACAGTGCATCAACCTGAGAAATAACCTTCCCAAACAGATAATAATCAGGTTAAATTCACGCAGCAATTGTCCAGTAGGCCTATGTGGAGGAGTGAAAGTAGGCAGAGTTTGAACGCCTCTCTTCGCAGAACTTTTATAACTTATAACCTTTATAACTTAGTGCAGTTCTCGGAGAGAGATCCTGAAGTCAGTGTGATACAGCTAGCAGGCGGCCATAAAGGCAGACTTCATGCTTCGCCTTCGAGTGTAGCACTGTGTAGTAGAAGTTGTATGACCGGCTCTAGTTTGTTTCACGCATACAGAAACCTTAACTCTCCACTGTAATGCCGCTCTGGGTGAGATTTTCCAAACATTTGACAATAAGAAAGAACAACTCGCTTATTGTCAGAGGACAGAAATTAGAGAAGAAGTCTAGTCAGGTGATTCAGCTGACAGACATTCCATTACTGACAATACCAATGACCAACAGAGGGTGAGAAACCTACTACCACACTCACATACACACATACTCTAACACAGACACACACACATACAGACAAAGAACAGTGAAAGATCACAACCCCTTGCATTCCATCACATTCGCTGGCCTAAAGCCAACAAAAGAATTCACCAGGATTGCCCACACTACAACTAGCCAATTATAATTCCTCTGAAAAGGCATACAGCCTGGGTTAAAGGCAGGGCTCCACTGCTCAATACTCTCCACAGCAGTGGCCAACTAAACATCCATTCAGCAATTCCTCTACAGAAGAGCGGACTCATTTTACTCACGTAGACTCACATTACACGGTTCGATTACAAAGCTTCATTTTTTTGGTTACCTTTAAACTGAATTTGTTTCTATTAAACGCTGCGATGATGTTAATCATCCCAGCACAGAAAATGGATACCACAGTGTGATGATTTGCAGAGCACAAGTAAATTCCCTGAAACAAACGCTGCCTTATAGTACCTGCTGACCAGATTAAACTGATTACACTGTTATGAATCACTTCATTAACAACATTAACACTAGCTCTCAGTAATTCAAGCATAATTCACAACTTAACAACTATGTAAATACATCCAGGGGGCAATATATATCACAGAGACTAATGCAGTCAAAAAAGAAGGTGGTGATCAGAAATAAGCTTTAACAGCCCACAAAGGACAGGAAATGTAATGGCCTATATAGCCTTGCGTCAGCTTGAAAGTGAGTCATTAGCTCTGGCCCTTTACAGAAAATTGTTCTACGAAGTAGGAGCATGAAGGGCTTGACCTATTATCTGTGAAAGACAAGCGAGAGAGGAAGAGCACGACGAGACGGTGAGGGAAACAGAAAAACAAAAGTCATAGAGAACAAGAGAGGTTGATGGTTGTGATGATGGGGGTTTCCCACCCCTGATTGGAGCGCCTGGCTGCTGTTGACAGTTTCTCAGGAGGAAGTGCTACTCTCCTGCGGAGACTCCCCCCCCCCCCCCCCACCCTGTGGCTCTGACTCTACTACTTCTACTTCCACAGTGCTATGGAGAATAGAAACTGGCAGCATTAGGAGAAAAGAAATATCTCTCTCTCTCTCTCTCTCTCTCTCTCTCTCTCTCTCTCTGTCTCTCTTCCCCTGATACCACCACAACATAAATCCAATTTAGCTGTGCTGCCATCTGATATCTTGTAAGGCAAAAATGCATCAAACTACTACTATTGGTGACGAGATAGCAGATAAAAGCAAAGGGTAGCATCACAGATACTGTTGAAGCCAATGTTTTAGTGCCTTAAGATGCTATTGGCACCAAAAAGCTAAAAGTGATAGTGGAAAAAAAACACTCTGTTGGGAGGATTTTATTCTCTCTAGGGCAATTTAAGACTCTTTGTGGGTAATATACGCTACCTGCTCCACACACAACAGCAGACAGTGACTATCTTATAGACATAGTGGAGCATTTAGCGGCCACATGTCTCTCTCTCGGAGTTGGTGGTCAGGGTGAAATGGTGCGCAGAAGGCTCGATTGTTCGGTGTGAGTTCAGTACAGCTCCGATAAAATAAGTTTCTTTTCATCTCGGTGACGCCATCGAATGTGTGTTAATTAGCATCTTTGATGGGTTTATATAGTATAGAGTATAGATAGTATTCTGTATAGTAAAGAAGTGAAAACATGATTCTATCAAGTGATATTTCACTCTACAGTCATTCGTGATACCAGTGGATGGGATCCTTCCTTTCCTCCAGGCATTATTAGTCTAAACTGAAGTGATTTCTTCAAGTTTCTCCTTTTGTTACTTCATGTTTCTTTCACGTTTGATTGAAAACACACACACGTATACATTGCTGTGATTTCTTTAAATAATGTTTCCATTACTTGTCACTTGTGAAATGTACCGCCAAGACCCCCTCTCTGACTCCCTCAGACTCTGAAGGTCCCCTGACCTTTGCAGGACGTGAACAGAAAATGTCATCTGTTCTCAGCATAATGAAGATATACGTGCACTGATAGATGCTAAGCTGTAACCTGGAAAAATGAAACAGTGAAATAATAAAACATTCATACTACTTCACAAGCAGCTTATTGGTCATCCAACAGATGATCCCAACCCACTTCAAAACTGTGAGTCCTGTCACCGCCTCTGGAGTATGGGAACCACTTAGGCTCCCATGGGTGAAACATATCTATGCCAGTCCCCACCCACAAGTGTGCTTCCTGATCCCCCCCCCCATCTCTCCCCTATGTCTCCCCAAACAGACACAAAGACAACTTCTTTGTCCCAACACATATAAATGAAATAAACTACCAAACTGAATCCAAATTTAAATGCTGAGATGTTCTGTCTCTACTGGAAAACAAACATCTGATGCATTCAATTGGTGTACTGCTTGCTTTTAGAATGAGCAGACAGCATGAACAACCCCAGGTTTCATTGACTTGCTTCACTGAGCTATGGCCCCTAATAAATGTGGCCGACTATTCAAGGTGGCTGCCACCAGAAGTGCACTGGATGACACTCACAGAGTCATTATGGGACACTTTTGTCATGAATTACGCAAAATGTGATTTCAATCTGAGGGCAGCAGAAAACCCAATGATGATTCCCACCCTGCAGCTGACTGTAGTGATACCACAGGGAACATCAGACATATATTAAATCATTATTAAAGAAAGAGAGGTGTCACAATACCGTTATAAACTAACTATTGAGCACCTATAAGCACATTTGGTGCCTGTTTTACTTCTATCCTTGATAACTGAGGAGGTCCTACTGAAGCCCCGTGTCCCATCCTCTACTGACCTGCTGGTAGTTTTCTTCTTCGGGCTGGAAGCTATTGTCAGTGGGCTGAAACCTCAGGTTGATATGAGGAAAATTGTGAAGCCAGTAAGTCCACCAGGGCGCAATGTAATCCACCCGAGCCGAAGACATCCCTGCCCCGAGAAAAAGTTAGGCTCAAGCCTAAATTAGCCTCCCTTCACTAAAGCGGGCTGTCTGGTCCGCTGCCGGAGATCTTTTAATCCCGTCTCATATCAAACAAAGACAATGATAAAAGCATGCCCGTCTGTGGAAACACACTCTGAGCCACACATGGGAGCAAAAACCTCCGAGAAGTCCCGCAGACACAGCGGTTCTGGTTGTTAAAGTGAAATCCGACTGAGGGGTTTCTCATGAAAAGAAAGAAATAATCACACTGCGCCCATGTCCCCGCGTCTGTGCGGGACTACTGCTCCTATCCGACAGACAGCTGCTCCAAACGCACCGGCGGGAGCGCGCACAGAGTACACGAGGAGATACGGGAGCGCGCAAAGACGCCCCTCACAGGAGTTTTAGAAAGACCAGTGTTGAAGCTGGTCTGAGGTCAGTGTTAAAGAACACACACATATTGACTGAGTGGGAATATTATGTTCATCTTCACAAAATGTTTGATCGTTTAAGTGTTTAATTAGTCTCTACGGGGAATGAGCGACTGCACTGCCACCTAGTGGTCAACTGAGTCACTCACACTCAATCTACAGCAGGAGGTGTGTTCACAGTGGAGGTCTGAGTCAGACACCAACTTTAATCTTCATGTACTGTAGAGCCTCAGTGGCGATACAAGTGAAGTCAGACCACAGAGTACTGGATGTGTGCTGGATTTCATCCCAGTGAACACACATCAGCTCACCCGTTTTATAGTCTGTCCTCACTGGTTTTATTACAGACAGTGTTGGGCTAGTTCCTCAAAACAAAAGCAATATAGGACTTATTACTCATAAGTAGTAAAACTACGTATCAAAAGTAATTAGTTACACTACTAGCTATATTACTCCCCCCCCCCAAAAAAATGTGGTAATTGTGTCCCTTACTCCATGTCTGTAATCCAGTTTAGTTTGTTAAAATCAAAGTAATGGAATATTTCCAGCTGCTGAATATTAGACATTAGTAACACTACTAGTGACTGGGAGTAATGTTAGTGTAATGAGCTCCTGCCCAACACTGATTATAGGCATCCACAGACTCATTTTTCAATATTGTGTTTCTGTGATGCTTCACTGGGGCCTAAATAGATTTTAGTTTAATACTGCTATTCTGAACTAGTTCAGTATAAAGATAGAATTAATTTACTGAAGAGAGTCAGTTATGCATTTACATTAAATTAACTTTAAAACATTTTTCATACAGCTTTTTCCAGACACATGAATATTGTATCCTTTTATAGAAGACACTAGTTGAATCCTCAACCAGCATAAACATTGTATATAATAAGCAGGGAATTATGGCACCAAGCAGCTAAAGAAGTTTGTAAAAATGGGTCTAAGGCTTTGTTTGTTTGGCACTGCCCTGAGATGAATATTGCTTTGGGACAAAGATCTATTTTAACATGTTCATGTAAATGGAGTCAGTGCTCTTAACATACTTTTAAGTCTGATTATAGCTCAAACCTGACACCTTGTGGAGAGATGTCAAAACACCACATATTACAACTACACTCCTATAATACCCAGGACACTGGTTGAATCCTTGTTTGCATCATAACACACAACAACCACAGACAAATAACTTATTTTCCAATTTTTATTACAATTATCTGTACATCACGGATTTACTTCAGCTCCTTCACAGCCAGACCTGTAGAGAGAAAGACAGGTTAGAGAATATTCACTGGAATAAAACCTCACACCAGCAGAGACAGGGGCACTTTTTCTGCAGACACTCAAACTTATTGCTTCCTCTTGTGAATGTAGATACAGACTAAGGTTGACCACTTAAACAGTTGCCAGCAATATTTTAAGTTTATCCACATCTTTAAACAAGGAGGCCACTACTGAGGCATTTAAGACTTTATATCTGTCAAACTGATTAGAAATTAATTGAAAATCATTTAGTAGAAGTAGACTGTCAGAGCCTGGCAGATCTCCAATGAAGACAGATGCAAACTAATGTTTTATTTACAAATGATTGTGTTTTTGCTGGACCAGAGAACTGTTGTCAGAAGCAACATTTTTCAAACTAGATAAACAGTTTCAGCCCACACAGACACTTTCATACTCTCAATTGTTCCACTTTGATAATGTATAAGCAGCCAGCTAAAGAATACAACTATTAAAACCTGGGACCTGTCACAAGCTCTTTGAGTAACAGAAGGAAAACTGCTTTAAAAACTCAACATCCAACCCCCACATGTACCAAGGTTCACTGTTGACCTTTAATTCAAAAATCCATTAAATGGATAACCGCAATAATATTCCACCTGACGACAAAATATACAGACTTTGAGTCACTGCAACAATCGCTACAAGGTGAGTCACAGGCTGCCCATCAACTGAACTCTCCCATTTGTATACTGTGTATGTCCATAGACATCATGGCATTTTTAAAGTCTAACACTGGTCCTCTGGCGTATATTGTGAGAGGAGACGGAGTTTGACTGGTCATCATCAGCTTTGACATTATATTTTTAATTTACCTTGGCAACAGTGTCTGCAATTGTGCTTTAAAGTTGCGCAGTCATTTCCCATGAGGACCTATTGTCTACCTATGGTGGCATCTTATTTTAAAATGCTACAAAACCCAGCCAAGTTTCTAATCCTGACACCCAGTTTATAGATTTGTTTCTTTCCAAGACGCATCACATCATCCCGGTGCTTGTGGCATGCATATGCATCCTTGTGTGCATGCTGGCAGAATTAGATGAACTCAGGGACCCGCTCACAGTAACATCCTCCAAGCTACTAGTGGTCCCAAACTCCACAGGGAGCCTTTAATTAGACCCAAGAATGATGCGTATGTCCTTATAACAGAACATTCAAGACCACGTTCAGTTAATTGTAACCATTTAGATGCAAATAACCCATCATTATGTCACTAACTGCTGTGTCTTAGTCGCTTTGTGTTCGCGCCACAAGCTGACTTCTTGTTAATACTGACCTGGGGGCAGGGACTGCTTGAGCTTCTCAGCCTTCTCCTTGTCTGTGATGACCAGGGTGTACAGGTACCTGCTGCAGCGCACCTTGAACTTAACGTTGTCCTTGTTCTTCTTGATCTTTACGGCTAAAAAGACAAACAAGGTGGTTTAGATTCGACTCGAAAGAAAACATCTACTTGGATTAAAAGTAGTTTTCAAACTGAGTATTTATACAAAACAGACTGTAGTTAGGATTTTACAGGTTCATAGTAGTAAATAATTTCCTATGAAGGTTCCTGGATACACTTACAACTAGTTACAGGAAAAAAAAGGAACTTGTGAAAGCTCCACATAAGCCGAGAAAATGTTCGTTGATTAACCAATGATTGTTGGAAACTATATATACTGCTTTCACATTTTGGCATGTTGAGCTACCATGCTACTACAGACGTATAACTCAAGGTTACAGAGCCAATTAACGCCGTCTCTACTTACCCTGTAAGAAATCCTTTTTACTAGGAAATTAAACTTGTCTTAGGATTGTCTGATTTTCTTGCAATGGTAAAAACTTACATGAAACTGGCCACCTAAGAAAAAGCCCATCTCGTGTTTTAAACATGCCTAAATCTCAGACATTCACATCCATCAAGCACACGCAGACGAGAGACTGAAGAGTCCAACTTACACTTGGCATCCTTCCTCCTGGCTGTCAGAAGGAAATCTTTGATTTCTTCTATCTTGCGAGGCTACAGAGAAAACACCACAGCAGACAATTATCACTCAAAGCATGTAAACTCTCAGATTTAGACCGAACAGCAGTGAGATGTTAGGGGACCGGTGGAACTGATGTTTCTGTGAGAAAATCGAAACCCAGCACTAGGTCCATCGTTAATCTTGCAAGACTGTGAATGCATCACGAGCACATCAGCCTGAGATGTTTGGACGTCTTGCTGATGGCAGAAAACATGTCTTCATTCAAGGCAACTTGTGCTAATCGATAACGTTAGGCGCCCCCATGGTCAACTTAGTAAGCATAGCTACAGTTCACACGGTTATTGGTCTCCGTTTGGGAGCCTTTAACTCCAGTACCTCTTGATTTAGGTAAATAAACGCTGCTGTGTCTCCTTTCCTACAACAGGCTGTAGCCAGGTGGCCCAATTGGGCTAGTAGCATGTTGCTAATGCTAATAACCCATGCTAGCCGAATTACCGGCGATTAGTGTCGATTGATAAACGACCACAAACTCCCATTTCACCGTGCGACGTGCCCACACACAACAAATACGACGTTATCAGCCAAGCACACGTCGCTATGTAAGTGTGAGAGGTTCTTACCATGCTGCCGTGTCAGCGGACTGAGAGCTGCGGAAGAGCAGAGAAAGATGGAGTCAGTTTATCGGTTGTAACAACGGGTAGAAAAATGTTGGCTCACAAATTAACGTCCCGTCGTCGAGCCACCGACGGGGATAATCATAATCTGACACAAACGTCGGTGTAATTGTTGGCGTTACAGAGGATGGACGATGATGGAAAATTGGGATTTTGTTTATGTGCGAAGGTGAAACTCACTCAGTCTGCCAGAGAGGGGATGAAAAGGGGCGGAACTTCCGGTGAAGTGCGCTTTTATACAGCGCTACGGCAAGCACAGAGGGCGATTGCTAAGATGGAAAAGCGTATTAGCCTTTGTAAGTCTAAAGTTAAATTGAGTTTATGTTTATGTGGCGGTACTGCGTTCAGAGAGTAGGTTACTCTAAATAGGCGTTACATATTGCAACTCTGTACACGTCTATATGTTTCTATGTGGAGTTTTTTTCTCACGCTCTATCCTGTAAAGAGAAAACTGTGGCTTTTGTAGGTCTTTATTATTTATTAATGTTCCTGCCTTTCTTACAATTTGTGTTACATCTATTCTATTTTGGTACAAATCTCTGTCATTTTGGAAAATCTGCAAATATTGTCACTATTGAGAGTCATTGTATACCTCACCTCCTTTCAACTTATATATAAATATTTACATAGCCTATATATATATATATATATATATATATATATATATATATATATATATATATAAGAATATTCTTTTGTCCCTAATAATCTTATCTACATCTTTATTGTACACAGTTCATAGCCTGAAGCTTGTCAATGATTTTTTTTTGCTTTTTGCATGTCAAACAATACATTTTTTTCATCTGGTGCTTAACTGGACACAGATGCTGCACATGAGCTTTTTTCTTGAACATAACACAGATCGCAAAGGACATCATTCTCTGCGAATACCTATAGTCTGCAAAGCATGACTATTACATTTGAAGGCCATTCCTCCCCTTCTGTATGACACTTCTGTCATCCTCCAGTTCTTTACATTGTTGTTCATTGAGCTCTTCCACCCACGTC